GGATTTTAGTGGGATTTTAATGGGATTTTAATCTGATTTCAATGGGATGCCAATGGGATGCTAATGGGATTTTAATGGGATTTTAGGGTTTGAATGTGGTTTTTGTAACTATAGTTTTCTAAACCAACATCACAGGAGGAGCGGGGGGCCTCACCAACCGCGATCAAGGTGCAATGCCAAAAGCCTAAGGCTTTCACCAAGATGATGATTCTCTACACCATTTCCATCATGTGGGTGTAATGTGGTTAAAACAATGACATAAACCACCCATGACTGGGAATGGTTTATATCACCTATTTGTGGGGATTTTGGGAATGGTTTATTATTGTTTTAACCACATTATATGATTAGCATAAGAATTCTGCCGCGATCAGATGGAACCAGCCGACGTGTTGATCTTGCGGGGTTGGATGGTCAGCAGGAAACCGAACTGAACTGAAGACACAGAAATCCTGGAAATGGTGTTGTGGCCCATCATTGAAGTCTTGGGACATCAGTTGTTCACTGCCATGGGCTTCAGTGGTGTTTTTTCGTACCGGTGACCGCAACGCGCCACGCGTGCCCAGGTTGTTGAGCTATTGGCAGGCCTTAGATACAGAGGCGGTCCTTTTGTGTTTTTCGGGACTTGGGGACCTCATATGGAGGTGTAAAGTGTAAAGTGTAAATATAGATATAGAATGACATATATAGATATATATGTTATCTAGAGATATACAGATATATAAATAAATAAATATAAATATATATATATCTATATTTGTATGTAGATATAATCTAATATAATCACATAACCCCAGTGGCTACTTGGGGGATGCAGTTCCAGATATAAGCGGATAATAGCGGATATAGAACCATAGCTATAGGCTATAGGGTTACCCTTCTGGTAATCAAACGTGGCTGGCTGGAAAATTCCAAAAAAATGGAGGTGTTCTTCAGAAAATCATCGATGGGGGTTGTTCAATTGCCACGTTTGATTACTGGAGCGTATATATGTATATATGTACAAAATAGTAATGCTGACATAGATAGAATGTGGACGTGTCAAAACATCACCACTTCTATATTCATGAATCTTCCATATTCTGTCTTCTTCAGAATGACTTTATATGTATATTATATATATACATGCCTTTATTGTGGCAAACCCAACAAGAAACCCATCCTCAATAGGGTTTATGACATTGATTGAAAGCTGGAAATTTGCCCCCAAGTGACGGCGCGGTTTATGGGATGGTTTATTGGGTGTAACTTACGTTGCATGTATAATGTGTAATTTGGTACATTTGAATGTGTATAATGATTATGATGCAAATGAATAATTAATAAATGAATGAATAAACATTTAGCATATACCTACATATGTATATATATATATTATATACGTGTGCCATTTTAGCTGCATAAAAAATACCTTGGAACCGCCATTCTCTTTTTCGCCATGATCCAATTCTCGATCCGATCAGGGCGTTGGAATTGTGGACAAGGAACACTGGGTCCGGAGCCCCGGAGAATGGTCGACTTGCGCCTGGTTTCGATGGCATCAGCCATGGCTTGTGGAGGCCTTTTTTTGGACCAATATATATCCACAAAAATGGATCCACTGAAAAGTCATGTCAGCTTTTTAAACACTCTGAAGTCAATTTTTGGATGATTCCCAAATTTACACAAATTTACTACTTACAGCCACGATTTGGATTATCTTCCTCCTATTGGATGTTGGTACTATGATCCCACAGATGATTTGGATGGCTCAACCACCAGAACCATTGCCGACCATTGCCGACTCACTGTTGTTTCAGTCCCAGGCCCAGGTCAGAAATTGACCTGTCAGAAACCTACAGAATTGATGATTTTCGGGATTGGTACCCTCCAATAAACCAGCATAGCTGTGGAAAATCACCCATTTACAGATGATCTACCTAGTAAAAAGTATGATTTACTATAGCTATAGGCTATTTGTTAGTGGACCGTCGACAAGTTCATGTACTTGGATCAATCCCTAATGAGGCCACAGCCATGCGTGCAGTGATCATTCCTGACGATGACTTCCCTTGGGATGCTTTGCGATGGCGAAGAGGGTGGTATGAAACGAACGAAAACAGGGATGTAAATACATTAGCTATGGAAAATGGATGAAAATGGCCCATTTACAGGTAATTTTTGATGATTTACCTATATAAAAAATGGTGATATTGTATTCTCCCACTGCAAGGAATATGGAATCGATGGAAGGAATATGTTGCATTTTTGGGGTAGGGGTTCCTGGATCGCAAAAATCCTAGTTTGCCATATGGAGCCCCTGCGATAGTCACACTACTTTAAAAAAAAAATGCAGTTTGTAGTATTGGATGCATGCTCTTGTTTTTTTTTGAATTGTATCTTGATTTTCTATGAATTTCAAGTTTCCAGTGTACAATCCAAAGCTGATCCCAATGGCATGTGTCATTTTGGGCACTTTCACGTTGGACGGCGTGCTAACAAAAACACGCCATGTCCATGAACGTTTGAGGAGAACCACCAGGTTCCATCGAAACTGCCAGTTTCATTCCATGTCTTCCATTTTTTTAAGATGCCCCACTATTTCAATGGTTCAGCTGTGCATTTTTTTGGGTGAAATGCTACCGTTGCAAAGCTAATCATGAAAGCTAATCATGAAGCCATAGCCATAACCATACCTTCCATGTACATCCAGTTGCCTTCACCATTTGTAGAGCAAACCAATCAGAATCACCTGGTTTAACATCCAAAAGTGATGTTATTGGAATTGGATTTGCCGTATTTGGAACCATGTTTGGGAGCCATCTTATATCTTTGCTTTTGGGCTATATTTCTATCTACCCTCTGCTTTTTATCTATCTACCCTCTTTTTTTAAAATATAGCCATACATAGCCATAGGTATGGAAAATTGCCATGTTCTGGTAACTCCTCTTTATCTATGGGCATTTTCCATAGCAAATCCCATGAAGTCGGAATAAATAATGATAAATCCCAATAAATCCTATTAAATCATAGTTAATCCAAACCATTGAAGTTTTTCATTGCCATTGGCTGTTTACCACATCGGCCTAACCCCCCGCCCCAAGGAATGGCTCGAACCATACATGCTGCATCCTGGCGTTCAGCAATCGGACAGGAAAGTAAGATGCCACTAATATAGATGGATTTACATGGATTTCCTAGATGATTATTACTGATTCATAATTATTCATGATGATGAGTCAGTGCAAAACAAATAGTTTCCCGTATGTTCTTGGTTACTATAGATTGATTTACCCATTTCTAGCGGTTCGTAAGGGCAATCAGGGGTCATGCCATTTAGTGCCCACACCCCGTATCTAGATGGTTTCAGAAGAACAGGTTCTGACTCAAATCAAGCTAGTGAAAGTCAAAGAGATGTATATAGGTGAAATCAGTCAAACCCGCATGGTTTGCAGGTTGAGTCACATGTCATATCAAATATATATATGTATAATATGATATATATATATATATAATTAAGTAAAATATATGTATAATGATATATATATATACGCATGTTAAACCCTTAAGGTTTGTTAGCTCCATTCCTTTTCTTCATTGGAAAAAGGAGTGAACATGGAGCAGTTCAATCAGCCCAGGGATCAACCGGAGGTTGAAAGTTCGCCATTTTCTGTGGCACTCAGGCGAACAACAGAGGGCAACCAGTTTAACTATGCGGTGTTCTTGGCACAGTACGGGCCGCTTGCCAAAATTCCGATGCTGTAAATCCAAGGGATTTGGTACAAACCAGATGTCCCAGTTTCAAAAATGGGGATAGGTGGATATCCAAATTTAGAAATGGACTGACTACATCAATATATTTTTTGGCGCAAAATGCATCGGCTTTCAGTCACTTGCCAAGCATCCAGTGCGGGAGTACCTAGTCAGTCTTTTGGGGATTGGCTGCTTGTTTTGGTTTGCCTGGGGTCCTGGGGACGGGTTTGTCCGAAAATAGTGGAACCAGAGGAAAAAACTACTTCACTAGGAAAATGTGAATAACACATTCGAATTTGGGGTGCCCTATTTCAATTTATTTTAGAATAAACCTAACATGCGATCTTGTGTTTTTGTATCTCGCCCAGCTTGCCATTTAACAGGATCGTTAGATGTTCAAGCGTTACCCCCAACAATACCCTTCATTGTACACTAGCATAGTGGGTGGAGGAATGACCAAAGTTGTAATAATGTGCAGTGCAGACAACTACAGTCATAGGTAGCTAGAATCGAATTGATATATATATATGTGTGTGTCAGTCACAGCCCCACATTAAGTCCCGGCATGTTTCTATTGTTGGTGGTTTGAAACATTTTTTTTCCCATATATTGGGAATAATAATCCCAACTGACACTAATATTTTTCAGAAGGGTTGAAACCACCAACCAGTTTCTATTGTTGGGTTTTTAACCATGGCAATGATATATCCAACATCTGGATGAAAAGCAAAACACTACGCCCCAGCCACGGTTTCAGGAACGCCTTGGCGCGGAAACTCGCCGCGCGCTTCTATGGAGGTACTTGGGTCTCTTACAATGGTGAAACATGCTGGGTTACCATCTGGTTATGACTAACATAGCCATGAGCAGCATCAAAAACCTCCATGAAGGGATTTAGTATTTGGGTTCATGTGGGGAACCCCCCGCGAAAGCCAAACCTTCATGGCATGGACAATGGCCCATTTATAGATGGTTCACCTGGGTTTACCTATTAAAAATGGTGATTTTTCCATGGCTATGTTAAATAACCAGATGGTAAAAGACGCATGAGAAACATGATCATAGTGAAATGAAAACGAAGGTGAAACATGGTGGTTTCGTTTAACCCACACAATCGATGGACGATTGGCATTCGGGACACAACTCTAGCAGAAATGCAGCATTCGTGGTATACTGGGGTTCAGATACTATTGCGATACCTTCTAGCAATATCTGGTAATTAAACGCCATTTTCAAGATATATGGAGGACTCATTTGTATAGGTAAATCATCGCTCTAAATGGACCATGGCTTCCTCGGTGTGCTTCTGCCAGCGCTGAACTGCATCTGTCAGAAAATTGCGCCACTTGATGTGCAGATTGTGCCTCGCCAATTTGGCAATGTCCAATGTCTCCCTCGCTGTACTCAAGTCGTCCACTGCACTGTAGAGAGACCGAGTCGATTTCTGTCCATCTTTCATGTGAGATCTTTGGACAATGGCCTGCACTTCTGGATCCATCTCTTGATGCGATTTCTTCAGAGCCTGGATCAATTCTTTCAATGTTGTCTCCTCTGCTGTCGGCGGCGGCGGAGTCGTTGGAGGCGGCAATGGTAGACTGTTGGGATGCAAAGTTGGAGTCCATGGCGGCTCTGGTGGAACCATGGTATCTCCCTTTCCTTTGCCTTTTTCCACATTCTGTCCAGCATTCTTGCCTTTCCCAGTCTGCTTGCCTGCTGATTGTTTGCCAGCACCTTTGTTTCCTCCACGTCCCCGACCTTTGCCTCCATGTCGAGGTGACTTCGGCTGTTGGGACTTCTCCCTTTTGCCTTTGCCACTGCGTGGGCTGCGTGGGCTCTGTCCCGAGCTTTGATGATAGTTCCAATCCCAGTCCTGTTGACGTGAAGGAGGAACAAAATCTGTGTCCTGACACTCCTGCCAAGGTGTCAGACACTGGCTGCATCCATTTGCGGACGCCTTTGAAATCTTTTTGCAGTACTTGCACCTCCAGGGCTCGTAAGTCGCCATGATTTCCTTCGAAATGCGGCTGATCAAACTTGCGTCCTTCGAATGGTGTGTACTGAGTCTTCGTTGAATTGCCCTCAGACTTGACAAATTCAATCTCACTTTGCCAGTCCTGTGAAGATACCAGGAAAGTCTCGCCTTTGCCCTGGCTCTCCTCTGCGATCTTCTGGTTGATGCCTTGATGATGGAAAATCCACACAAGTAGCCAGAGGAAACTCAATGGCATACGGTGCAAAGTCCAAGTAGAAGGCCACCAGGAAGGTGAAGACAAAAATACAACTTATGGCAGAGAGTTGTGGACCCGTCCGCAAATCGCGGGAATACCCAATTAAAGAAAACCGGAATTGAATGGGGAGGATGCAGGCCGTACCAGTTGGAATACAAATAAATGTTGTAAGAGCCAGTCAGGTATCGGGAGCTCACCCCTTAATAGCTGCAATTATAGGTTGCAGCAAACCTTCCCGGGAGTTTATAGTGTCCGGGACCACTACCAACAGAAGGCCTCAACAGGCTCGGCCAAATCGGAGATCTGTTGCTGCCCGCGGCGAAGACAATGGCAGGAGCTGTCGCGCCGCTAAGGTCAGAGCGAAACACGTGGGGCGGTTTGGGCCCGACCTTAAATGGACCCATATCTATATATATATAGATATATTCTCATCCATCAATTCCAAAATTAATTGTGTTGTTCTGTTATGTTTACATATCCCGTTTAAAATTGCTAGATATCCCAACCGATATCCCAATATCCCAATATCCCAATATTAAACATATAATTATATATATATATAAATGGGACATATAACCATCAACACCGATACGACATGATATAGCCATCAGTGAATTAGATATAACCACTATTAAACTGGATATCATCTAAATAGATCAAACAATATCCAAATGTGATACCCTCTGGTTATTTAACATAGCCATGGAAAATGGTCCATTTATAGATGTTTTATGACGATTTACCCGTTAAAAAATGATGATTCTCCAGTTCGCTACGTTAAATAACCGGAGGGTATATAACCAGTAACACATACATGATATAATCATCAGCTAATGGGATTGCTCCATATACAAAACATCGGGTATGACATGATATGATATATATATGATATATCAAGTAGTGGGATATAACCACCACTTAACACCTAATTTTTTTTTGGTGAATCTACGAAAAATGGGATTCTAAAGTCGTCAACAGCCAATATCTTCTCATCCCAAGGATTTTGGGGGATGGTGCCCAGTGGGCGTGGGGAGAATCTCCGGTCAGGGATTTCTGACTTCCAACGAGAAGAATCGGAACTGACACAGCAGATCGAGGCAGCCAAGACCTCACTTGCAGCAGCAGTCCGAAGATTCGAAGATTCGAAATCAGAACTGGGAGTCCAGGTGATCGATGTCGAAGCTCATGCAGCCATGGAGGAAGCATCCATGGATGCCGCAGATGGCAGTGCAGCTGGAGCAGCTCTCATCGACAGCCTGGCGACAATGCGCTCACAGTTAGAGACGGTGCAAGCTTCAGCCGAAGCAATGGTGACAGAAGAAGCCAACAATTCCAACAAAAGACAGCGAGTCGAAGAGGGATTCGTACAGTCTGCGCCATATTCTGCACCATCAGGCACGCCACAAGCCATGCAGCCATTTGCGCCACGGGAGACCACGGAGAACCAAAGTCCGCCTTTTCCATCGCCCGACAAGAAGTGACTGAAGTGTACTCTTGTCCAGGGCATTCAAGCGTTCTGAACTGGACTCACAGTGCATGTGAAGAACCGTGGTTCACAACTAGATGGTTTGCAATTGAATCGGCATATGAACTAGCATGGACGCTAGGCACGCCGCAGACTTTAGTGAGTGATCATCATGAAAGAAAGCCTTCTGCATGTGGGAAACGCAGACAAGTTTGTTTTTCTTCTGATGTTGCACTCCGATTTACCATGGAGTCACCATCGCTTTGTGCGACCCGTGTCATGGATGAGACTCGTTTGCAAAATTGGCCGCAGAAACCTTGGAGTTTAAACAATTTTGAAATCCTTGAGTTTTCTGATTGCATTGAGAGGACTGCGATGCAAGTGGCTCCATCAGATGTGATACCAACAAGTGGTGATGTAATCAATCGCACACCACTGAAATCCATTGAGAATATTCCGAGATTTGACTTTTTCAAGCACAAACATGAAAGGGAAAAAGTCCAGGAACCGCTGTCTTTTGAGGCCGCGTTGATCCGGACTTCCCCAAAGAGCGCACACCATGCGCCACAGATATTGACGTGCCATCGCAGTGATGATTTTTATGATGTTCCATCAAGATGGTATGGACAAGCTGAGAACAATGCAAACAACGAAAATGATCAACAAGAACAACATGATGACGATGATGCCAGGTTTTTTCTTCACGAGGCACCTGATTCCGTTCAATTGCTTTTTGATGCATTCCTCAATGAAGGCATGATCGTAGGACCCAGACTTGCAGAAAGTGTCCATCTTCGTTCATGGCATGTGCATCATATACATGAGCAAAGGTGCTGGCATCCTCGAACGATTGAACTCAATGGACATTGGAGGCATTGGTTCAATGATATTCTGGCAGGGTGGAGGGACAAAAACAATCCCAATGAGGATACAATTTTCAGTATTGTGCATCCGAACCCGCCGAGAAGTGGAAGTGTCCATGAAATCATGTTCGATATTATCATTTCACAAGGGCTTGAGGCCCCAAGGAATTCTGGGCTCATCACTGTCCTTCAGAAAAATGATCGAGCAGCTAGGGCCAGATTTTCACTTGCAGCCTCATTGCCATACACAACCAGTGGTGTACAGATTGTACAGGGAGCTGAAATCATGCATGAATGCAATCGCGACATCTGCAGGATCCGACACGATGGTGTCACTATTCCATTCACCATGGCACCTACGCATGATGTTCAAGATGGTGATTCATTCACGATTGCTGTTTCATCCCCTGCAGCCAGCAGTTCGGCAGTAACAGACGTACATTGTACAGATGAGGGAATGCATGACTGTTCTCCACACGAGGAACCGAACGATGAAGATCAATCTGAACACCCTGTGCCTCCTTCAAGCTCGAGCAGCAGCACAATTGAAGCAGCAAGGCAGGGAGTCCACATTTTTCGGCTTGGATATCCCCAATCATTTGGCCGCCTTCGATGGGATTTCACGGAACACATCATCGTTGATGCTGCACGTGTGGTCGGCATTCCATCACAGCATTTTGCATGTTATCATTATTTGATGACTGCACCGGATGATCAAACTGAGAAAGAAGAATCAATCATTTTGCAGCATGTTGGTGACATTCAGCCTGGATCCACCGAAAAATTAGTTCTAGTTGACATAGAACTCCATGCCTCGGCCTCTGGCCACAATGCAGTTCATGCGCCTAGAATCATGCGTCAGGTCCACAAGGTTGTCCCAACATTACTGAGAAGCCAGCTTTTGCAAATCATCCGAGTCTCTGCATATTGTGAATGGCGTGCGTTGGCCTGTATTGTCCATTGTAATCGTGTTCTTTGGCCAATCACTGACCATGGCCCGAAACGCATGCAGCATGGCATGTACTTTCGCATCACTATCCCACCGCCACCGGATGCTTCATGGGAAATAGGTTACACGCTACGTGTCTTCCAAGATGTTGCAGACCTATTTGACTTCCCGGAAGCTGGAAGGATCGCTGCCGAAGTGCTGCAGAACACGTACGCAGCAACAGCCGTTCAGGATCCAACACAGCAGACCAGTCCGACTCCATGTCTTGAGACAAAGGGAGCGGATCTTGGCTCATATGACATAGATGTCCCCACAATGCATGCGCCAAGAGCGTATCGGCGCAGACTGCATCCTCCTCATGATGGAAGTGTCGATTGGCTTATGGATCTGGGTCAAATTTTCTCAGATCAAGCCCAAGCAGAAGCATTTGAAGATGAGTTAATGCTTTATGTTCAAACATGGTTTGTCAATCATGAACGGCACCCCACATGTCGCCGCCCTCGGCCCTTGCGTTTGGAAAGACAGTCAGTGACTTGGATTGATGACTTCAGGCAATTATGGCGAGATCTCCTGGATCGAAGATCCCCATTTTCCATTCATGTGATCAGACCAAGACCACCACAAGCCAGAACAGCCCACTTTGCGTGCCATGTCCTTATTGAACAAGCGATTTCCAATGTACGTGCAGCGGTAGTCTTGACGGCCCTCTTGGAAGGAGATCACAGAGATGCCATCATCCAAGGTGCCTTCTCAATTCCACGGTTGACACGACGTCAAGATGTCATTGATGTCATGGAAATTGAACCATTCTGTGAGGGTAGATTGTGTACAATGCACATGGGGACTGTCCCACTCCAAAATGTTCAAGCGACAGAAGTTGTTTCAGGGACCAGCATTCGAGTGCGGATTACCCCTATCAATGCACAGATGCCCATTGCACCAAACACACAGGATGACCATTTCGAGGATGTGGCCATGCTTCAGCTTGACAGAAGTCAGCCAACCAGCCCGAGACGAAACACCCTGTGGACAGAAGACTGTGTTACACTCCCAGCACAAAAGAGCAAGGAATTTGTTTTTAGTGCCTCTGCCCAGGAATTTCGGCCATCAACAAGAAACATCCTGGCTCAATCTGCCTTTGTTCAGGAACTATTGCCACATGTTTCCTTCAATGCGTTTGCATGGGAAGAAGAGAGCCCGGCAGCAAGAATCATGACATGGTTCGTTGATCACAGAGCTGCTGCGCCACACTGTTCTCAGAGTAGGACAGTTGTGATATATGAACAATTTGGGGACTGGGAGGCAAGAATCAAATGGGCATGGCGGGACCAAATTGATCTTCTTGCAGGCATTGAGATGCACGTAGTTGCGCCACAGCCCCCACAGCTAGAAGACTCGATTGTAGCACATGTGATTGTCGTCCAAGCGCCGAACCCACATTGGGTCACCTCCCTGGTGTCAATCTTTGATGTCAACCCAGTGCCAATTCGGTATGCCATCACAACTCTTGCACAGATCTATGTGGAGCATATTTTGATGTTTTGCAATTATGATTTGACTTGCTTGCAGCCAAATTCGCCGATCAGATGCCGTGCATGGTATGACCGAATTGTCCTGCAGCCTCGCATGCCTCTGCCGGGTAGATCGGGATACAGCATTGTGTTGCAAGTTAGGCGACAACCGCCACAGGCAGATCACCGGAGTTTTGCATCACGTGAGACATCAGGACATCAGTTGACCACTATCAAACTTGAAACATGTCTGCCTGATCCAGAGACAACCGCAATCCAGCATGTACCATTAGGTTTGATTGATGGTGCGGACCAAACATGTCTACCAAATCATCTTCTGTGTGAAGACCCAGTCCATTGTGCAGAAGTTGAAGCCATGCTAGAGACAATGGGTTGCCCGCGGCATGTCTACCTGCTTGAAGGCACTGGCTTTGCCTTTTGTGTACCTGTTTCGTGGACTAGTCCATCAGATACGACCACCCTGGTGTATTATCCATGGAGGTATGAAAGTCGATCTGATATCATTGTTCACAGTGCGCATGTGCCGCCCACAGAACACATGCACATGGCCTTCTTGCATTTATTGGGTTACAGCAGAGCGGTTGTGATTATGGAAAGTCCAGTCCGGCAGGGACTTGTCTTAGTGCAATATCACAACAACCAACCAACGCTTGAACAACCTGCTGTGTTGCACAAAGCCCAAACGCCATGGCCGGCACCAATGCCACGGCTGACTTTTGATTCTGTGTTCAAAGAGCCTTTAGCCAAGGTGCGCACCCCCGAATATCACTTGACACTCGGATCATCACCCACTTGCCTCAATGAGTTTTTCGGCTCAGGAAAAGATGTGCTCTGCCCATGGCATGATCATTTAGACTTGCCCGAGGTGATTCGTGCCAGTCTTCCCAAAGAGCGTCCAGCAATTGACATGAACATTGACTGGTCAAGCTTTGATAGAGTTATCATCTACACTGATGGAAGCTCCAAGACGGCCAATCGACGCAAACCTCCATTATGGGTTCAAGAGCATGACACGCCAGATGCATGGTCGTTTGTTGTGTTAGGGGAGAAATATGGAAGTGCCACAAGTATCCCTGAACTTGTCTTTCTTGGCTGGCATGCGCAACAAGTCACCTATGAAAACGACCTTTCGCATTTCGTAGGAACTGACCAGATTGGATCCGAGTATGCAGAACGAGAAGCTTTGTTCTGGGCGGGAGTGTGGCGCTTATCCATGAACATCAATGTACCCACAGTGTTTTTGTCTGATTCTGTGACCACCACAGAACAAGCATTAGGTCTGGCGGGTTGCAGTGACCAACATCCGACTTTTCACCACCTTCGAGGTGTGTTTCAGGCTCTTCAAGCCACCATGCCTGCTGAATGTTTGGAAGTTCGCCATGTTCGCGGCCACACAGGTGACCCTTGGAACGAGCTGGCGGACCACTTGGCAAAATCCGAAGCCGCCAAGGGACATCAACTCAAGAGACAGGCAGTTGACATGCGTGAGTTCTTGCCAATGCTTCCGTATCTTTGGATGGTTTTCGATGGTGCAGCAGGACTCCCGGACTTTACTGGTGAAGGGTTTGACATAGGTCCCCCCACGCTTCCGCCAACGCAGCCAGATCAAGTAGGTGAGTCACAGTTGAAGCATGAGAGGCAATCATGTAGGATCTCCATCAGTCTTGCAACCTTGAATGTTGGAACATTGTTCACCGGACCTGAGGGTTATGGAGGCAAATTGACTTATATCCGTGAGCAAATGCAGAGTCTCCATCTGAATTTTTTAGGCTTGCAGGAAGCCCGCAGTCCAGCAGGCATGACCCAAGTGGACCAGGTGATCCGGTTGTCCAGTGGAGCACACAAGGGGCAGCATGGAGTTGAACTTTGGATCAACACAAACCAACCAATTGGGAAACACAACGGTCGTGACGAGAAACTCCAAGCACGACATGTGCAAGTGACTCATTCAGATCCACGCCGCCTTATTGTACGCCTGGCTCATTCCAGTCTTGATGGACTATTTGTAGTCCTTCATGCACCACAAAGCGGTCGTCCTCTCCAAGAACGTCAAGCATGGTGGAATGAAACACAGACCATTATTCATCACTATCGAGGACAATTGCCATTATATGTCCTGATGGATGCAAACGCAAAGACGGGCCCATGCCAGATGCCTTTCATTCATGCTCAGGATGATACATGCTCAGTCAACACAGAATTCTTGAGGGACTTCTTGAAAATCAATGAGCTTTGCTTGCCTTGCACAACTGACATTCATGAGGGAACGCAAGCCACGTGGACAGCCATTGATGGCCAAACAACCCATCGCATTGATTATGTTGCGATTCCACACAAGGAACTGCAGCACTGCACGATGTCCAGAGTCCTGCAGGAATTAGATCCAGGAAATGGCACCGAAGACCACTGCGCAGCCGCTGTTCAACTGACATGGCAAGGATCAGTCGACACACCTGGACCTTCTGTCAGCCGAGTGCCTCCACACAATCGGACAGCGATCCAACACTGCCAGAAGCAGATTGATTTGACCACTGTCAATGTTGGCACATGGAAGGAGAACATTGAGGCGCATGTCCAGGGGTTCAACCAGCAGGTCCTGCACATTTTGCAGACAGAATGTCCCGTAAAGAAACAAGGGCCTAAGAAGCCGTTTCTGTCCAAAGAAGTCTGGGAGCTCAGATCCGCAAAATTGCACTTGCGAAAACGACTCCATACAGCACGCAAGCAGCAAAGCCTTGACTGTCTCCGCCTCATCCTTTGGGCATGGTCCAATGGCAGTAACCCAGAAGTCGATGATTGCCTCAGGCAACATGAGAGACATGTAGACACTGTTTGTTGTGCAATTGTCCACCTGTCCTGCCGGTATTATAAATTGACCAAGGCCCTCAAGCAACAGTTGCAGCGAAGCCGCCAAGCCAGACTGATCCAAGAAGTCCAAACCATGGATGCCAAGACTGCTGCAGGGGAAATCTTGCATCGTCTCCGTCCATTCTTAGGTCCCTCCAACCCGAAAAAGCTGAAGAAAAAAGGACTACCTGCTGTCAACAATGAAGATGGTAATCCATGCCAAACGCCAGCAGAAGCCAGGGACCGCTGGATTCGATTCTTCAGCCAGATGGAAGGCGGTGACAGAGTGTCTCATGCCCAATATAGAGAACATTGGCTGAGCAGCCTTGCTCAGTTCAGCAATGTTGCCCCATTCAGCATTGATGTCCGAGAAGTGCCAAGCCTTGTCGACCTCGAAAATGCATACAGAAGGGTAGCAGTTGGAAAGGCGATTGGAGAAGATGGGGTTCCGCCAGAACTGTGTCATTACAAGGCTGTTGACATGGCCAGATTGACATACGCCATGATGCTCAAAGTTCTTTTGTTTGGACAAGAGGCTGCAGAACACAAGGGTGGCCGCCTGGCCATTGCTTGGAAACACAGAGGGGATGTCCGTGACTGTTCTACGCATAGATCATTGCTAGTTTCGAGTCACGTGGGAAAAACCCTCCATCGAGCCTTGCGACAAAAGCACAATGCCTTGTACACAAGATACATGCAAGCCCAACAGCTTGGGGGTCGACCCAAAATGCCAGTAGGGATCCCATTGCATGCATCTCGTGCATTTCTGAGATGGCAGGCCCGACTTAGCAGGCCGACAGCAATGATTTTCCTTGATCTTACCGAAGCCTTTTATCGCATCATCAGACCACTTGCTCTGGGGGGTGATTTATCTGACGAGCGTGTGGCTGAGATGGCACACAAACTGGGTCTGCAAGGAGATGCGCTGCATGAATTTCATGCCCAATTAGCAGAACCAAGTGCCCTTGCGGATGCTGGCGCATCACCGACAGTGCAAAGATTTCTCCAAGCCATCCATGCTGAGACTTGGTTTAGAATTGGAGACCAACAAGACATTGTCAAAACCACAATCGGTTCGAGACCGGGTGACTCATACGCAGATGTGGTTTTTGGGTTTTTATGGTCAAAACTTTTGCACTCATATGTGAATGCTCTAGCGGAGCATGACGTCTTGGAGAGGATTCCGGTTTGTGACTTTCCTGATCTGGTCCCAGTGGATCCATCTGCCGTTGAAACACAACAGTTCCTAGGGCCAAATTGGATGGATGACTTGAACGTCTGCATCGCTGCAGACACAAATGCAGGCATTGAACGCAAAGCAAGTGTGGCTCTAGGCATTCTCATTGACAAGTGCCAAAGCCTATACATGAAGCCGAACCTATGCAAAGGCAAAACTGAAGTCATGTTCGCCTTTAGGGGAGCAGCATCAAGGGCGTATCGCAGGAAGTACTTTGCCCAAAATTCCTCGCTTCCGGTTGTAGGAGAGCATGGCACCAGTCAGGTATCCGTAGTGAGCCGGTATCTCCATCTTGGAGGACTCCTCCATCACAAAGACATCGACAAAGCGGAAGTCACAAGACGAATTGCCATTGCTCATCAAGCTTTCACTAGCCATCGCAAGATCCTTTTCCACAACCGCTGCATTGATTGGAGCAAGAGAAAAGATATGTTTGCAACTCTTGTGCTCAGTAAGCTTGTGTATGGCTTAGAGTCGTGGACCATGAAAGCGCAGAAGACCAAGGATCAGTTCTACAGTGGTGTCATGAAGTTATACCGCAGACTCCTCAAACTTCCTCATGACTGCCATGTGACCGATCTTGACCTCTTGGTGCGTGCTGGGATGCCTAAACCTGATGAACTGTTGCGACAGTGCAGGCTGCGTTACTATGGCACGTTGCACAACTGTGGTCGAGATGCGCTATGGGGAGTGCTGCAGGAAGATCATGATTGGTTGACATTGCTGAAGGATGACATGACTTGGCTTTGGGCTCAAATTTCCAACACCTCATCGATTGGAGATCCAAGAGAACATTATCCTGCTTGGAAAGACCTTCTCATCCATCATGGAGGATATTGGAAAAAGTTGATTAAGAGGGGTATCATGCATGCGGTTGCGCAGAGAGACAACTATGCAGTTGCTCTGCGCCTCCACCAGGACGTGGGCATGACCTTATTGCGGCAAAACTGGATTGACAGCCTGCCATGCAACACAGTCATTGCAGAGCCTGAAGAGCACTATGGCTGCATGAAATGCCAATCGAGGCATCTCTCACGCAGCGGTGAAAGTGTTCATATGTTCAAATGCCATGGACAGATTGCCAAAGCTCGTCATCTCTTCGCCGAAACCCATTGCCCAGCGTGTTTGCGAGAGTATCACACCAGGGCAAAAGTTCTTGCACACTTGAGAACTGCAAACCACTGCAGACAACAACTTATTGGGCAGAGGATGCAATGTGCCCCAGCACCTGGAACAGGCTCAACGCAGGACCAGATTTTGGCTGCTCACACAGATGGGGCAATCCCTTTCCAACAAGCACAAGGACCTAAACAGATCCATCTTCGGCAGCGTGATTTTGAGCCGTACTGCATTCGACTCCTCGAAGATCTGTATTTGACCTTATTGGATTTACATGATCGAGATCAACTGGAATCGGTGCTGAGAAATGAAATCCAGCGTCACCCAGTTAGTTGGACAACATGTAGGCGTACGTTGCTCCACTTCCTGGAAGATTTCACGTTGCAGGATGCAGAGGTTCTTTCTTTTACTCATGCAGAAGTATGTGAATGCTTGCAACAGCTTTGCCTTGTTGATGCTTGGCCGTTTCTGAAGCAGACATGCTACAGAGAGGGACAACATCTTTCCACTGATATCAGTGATTGGGAAGCGTGGTGCACTGACATTGCATATCAGGCCAATGCATGGGACCATCTGCAACCGCTGCCACGGACTTTGTGCAGACAGAAGGTCGTCCTGCATGCTTATGCAGGCAGACGAAGGCCTGGAGATGTGGAGTGGTACATCGAGGCGGTGGCCAAGAAGTACCCGGATTTTCAGATTTTCGTTGCGTCAGTCGACATTGTCATTGATGGGATCTATGGTGACATCTCGCGAGAAGACACCCGAACATATTGGGTCAGCCACATTGCTCAAGGCCATGTTGTGGGATTTTTTGCTGGGCCTCCATGCAACACGTGGAGCAAAGCACGACACCACAGTCTAGGCCCTCCTGAAAGCACCTTAAGGGGACCGAGAGTAGTGCGCACCCCAACAGAGCCTTGGGGTCGTTCGTCATTGAGGTTGACGGAGTTGGCGCAGGTCAATTTGGGCACACTGCTCTTGGGTTTCGCATTCCAGTGCATTGTTGCACTGGCCCTCAGATCGGGCACAGGGTTCATTGAACACCCTCGTGACCCAGAAGAGGAGGAGAAGGTGAGTATTTGGCGGTTGCCAATACTCCGAATGATCTTGACGCTGCCGAATTTGCGCCTGGTGCACCTAGCCCAGGGATTATTCGGAGCACCATCTGCAAAGCCAACTACGTTGCTTGTCCTAGGAATGACATCTTTGGAAATGGCACTCTACAAGCAGATGCTGGCCAAAACTCTTCCTACAGGTGCATCAGTAGGCCGTGACCAAGACGGTCAATTTCGAACAGCTCCATTGAAAGAGTATCCGCCAGCGCTATGCAAGGCGTTGGCGGAATCACTCATGCTTGATCTCACCTGCACAGAGTGCGGTGCAGAATGCTTGCCGGCTGACCTGATCCAGAAATGTAAAGATATGGCAGGCCAGCTTTTTGGGCAGCACATTGGCCACGATGGATAGTCACGTGAGCCGCATTTTCCTGAATTCAAGGACCATCGAATCTGCCGCTGCGAGAGACGCAACTGAGTGCAGTTTGGAAAAAATGGGTCCATTTAGATGTTTAATAGTGGATATGTCCAATTAATGGATGATGAATGATGATATCATCTTATATCCAATGACCGTATATGATTGCATATGTATATCCCATTAGTTGATGGTATGTTTATGGTAATATTGTAGAGTTTTTGATGATGACATATCTGTTTAGATCCATGTAGATTCCTTTAGATCCATTTAAACGTTTATATCGAGTCATGTGTACAATGTTAATCTATGTTAATCTCATCATTCCAACCATTCTAAAACAGCCTTATGCAGGCTCGATGATGGCTGTGTTGCCGGGGGTGAAGTCCAAAGCCGACATTGAGAAAGCCTGGTCCACGGTGGACCGCAATGGCGCCTCGGTGCTTTGAATTATTTTGTTTCATGAATATCATCCAACTGAGATCAACATTTATATCTGTATGTAGAGAGAGAGAGAGTTAGATCTAATAGATCTAGAACCATTAAATATCTTTGTGAAATCATGTGTGTTTATCGTTGTAATAATGGTGAATTAAAACTAACTATTGTTTATAAATGTGTAGCTATAATTATCTAATGATTGTAAATATAGATCCAACTAATAATATTTAATGTTGTTGTGATAGCTAGCTAATGACTATCTAACTAAGTATAGTAGACTATAACTAACCAACTAATGGCTATCTAATGACTATCCAAAGATTATGTCATCATTTGATTAGAGTTAGTTGGTGCTTTAATTACATATAGATCATAGATCTATAATCATGACTGAGATATCGTTTTTTTGTTTGTGGGGTAAAGGCTGGTGAAATATAGAAAAACAACCTAGGATATCTACCTGGTAGTGATTATAATGATAACCAAGGATAAGCAGTGATAACCAACTAATGATTATCTAACTGTTGCTATAACCAACTAATGAGGCTATGATTATCTAATGATCTAATGATAGCCTCTGAATGCGAAAAACATATCCCGCTGATGATATCTAATGATTATAGATCTATAATTTTCACAACGAATTATTGTAACCAACTGTGGGGTCCATTCAAAGAGCAATCTTTTTGACGATGAATTTGTTCATTCTTTGGTGAATTCTTCGGCAGGGTTAAACCAGATACTTAGATTGGTGGGTTATTAAATAACGATGCGTTGACATGTGTCAAGCGCGGGTCCTAACCAGGACCATGAGTTCCGTAGGCTTCATATTTATTGAGTGGATCATTATACAAGAATTTTCACCAATCAGCAGGGATTTCTTGATCTCAAAGAGATCAGAGATTTCCCTGCTTCATTGATCCTTTTTGTTTACCATTTGAACAGGGATTTTTGTTGACCTCAAAGACGACTGGGGGCACCACTGGCTGGATTTCCATTGGCCTCTAAGGAGACGGGCGTTTGTCATATCAAGAGCTGCGGCCGCTGTTGAGAGCTTCAAGCCACTGGGCGGACCTCCGGATGAGTTGACACCACCAATCCGATCGTATCCCGGTAATGACATGTAACAAGAACCCAGGATAACCATTAATAACATATTTTAATGAACTTCCCAAGTGAAGTGATGAAAAAATATGAAAAATAGTACAGTACACCAGGGTTTCTGAGTGGTGCTGTTGATTCTTAACGGTTTCATGCTTTGAATGGATGAAGATCAGTTGGCCCAGCCACATCTAGCACCAGGGACGATGATTTGCAAGTCGGATGCGGTCAAAAACAATGTCTATCTCTAAGGAGCCAGAAGATTTGGTTGATTCGATATCTGACTAGCTCTTTAGTCTGCTGCAGACTGAAGAGCTAAACCATTCCAATCCTGGTCTTTGCAAGAGTTTTAACATGTTTTAACCCATACCATACCCATTAAGTATACAGCCAATCCATCATTATCCATCATTTTTGGTTCAAACCCATTTTCCATGCTTATATGCCAAGATTTTTGGATTAACCGCCCTGGGGGAAAGCTGAACTTCTGCTTGAAGCTCAGGCGGCCTGGGTGATGAGACAGATAAGCCACCTGGCAGTATGTTGAAGTTTTTATCGCCTAAAATGCACCAGCAATATGTCTAAAAGGGTGTCATATTGTGTTGCTTGTGCTTGGTTATGATGCCTTATGATTATGGGAAAGCTGGGATGATCGTTGAATAGCGGTGTGTATGTATAATATATATATATATATGCATATAGGATTCCCATCTGTCTCCTGCGAATGGGATGCCCTTAATGGCCTTCCGAGCCATAGCCCATGTTGGTTGCTGTCATCCCTGGCATGATGACCCCCAATGAACTTTCATGTTTTTATTTTCTCCAGGAGGGTGAAACCACCAGTGATGGCTCGTTCCGAATGTGTATGGATCCAAAACTTCTTTGCAATTCGGTTACCCTCTGGTGAAATGGCCATTTATAGTGGATTTTCCCATGAAAAATGGTGATTTTCCATTGCTATGTTAGTTCACCAGAGGGTAATGACATTCCAAATCATTCCACAAAATCTACGGAATCGTGATGGAAAGATTTGGATCTTGTGATGGAACCCAATGTCATTGGTAAAACTCAACCAGTAAGCTTCGTGTGAAACGGGTTCTGATTGGTATACCCCTTGACGTTTGAACCGAGCAGGGGCAGGGCAGTGCTGAAAACAGGTTTTCGATTTAACGTCAATCTCCTAGCGCGACCTATGCCCTATACAGTTAGTTACCCTCTGGTTATGACTAACATAGCCATGGAAAATGGCCCATTTATAGATAGTTTACCTGGGTTTACCTATTAATTAAACATGGTGATTTTCCATGGCTATGTTAAATAACCAGGTGGCACTTTTTTTAAAACATCCCTTGGCACTTTCAAGATCAGCATTCCAAGTATTCAATGGATCAAAAGGGCGATGTGATTTCTGTTGCGATCATGTTCCGTGCAATATACCATATACCCAGAAAATCCCAATATCACTATCAATGGATAGGTTTAAGGGACATCTACAGGAAACATTGATTTTCCCATTAGATATGGGGCTTTCCTGAAATGTTCCCTTAAACCAATCCATTGACACCGCTATGCGGAGCAGATCCACCGACGAAATGCATCAGGATTACGATGGAAGATCACATCTACAGCAGCTTGGCCATCGAAGTCCACCAATGTGGGTCATTTTCCTAGAGAAACCATTGGTTTTCCACATCTTTTTGTATGATTACCCAAGGGCCCTAGGGTAATTCATGGTAATTCTCAAGAGGGAAAACAAGGTGTATTGGGTCCCCAAATTTTCCAGAAACACTGGTTTTGTTTGCGTTGGATCAATTGAGTTTGGCTGCGTTATCATTTCCTCATTCTCTGACCTGATCAGACATTGAGTAGGGGCAGGGGAAACATCCCGGTTTTGGCGATGTAACACCTTGTGGCACAACATGCGCCTCCATAAGCATAGTAATGCCCACTCTTCCATGGGAAATTGACCCATCAGTTTGCGGTCTGACAGATCCGTTGGTCAGTGAGCGGCACCTCCCATTGTTTGCGGTTGCGGCAGGTAATGTGGCAAGCCGATTGCCATAAATGACCCCATTCACCAACCATGACTGGAGGTCATTGAAAAAATCATCCGATTTCTAGGAGTCTACCCAGTTTCGATCAAGTTCGTAAGCCCCAATTGGGGATGGTTTAGATGTCTATATATGCCATTGGGATTACCAGCCCTTGTAATGCACCGGCATTCTTTCTTAGCAGCTGATTCATCGCTGTTGAGATGATGGTGGTGATGATGATGATCATGATGATCATGATGATCATGATGTTTATGATGATGATGCCTGGAATTTGCACGAACTTTTGTAATATTGGTGACGTTGGTGCTGCCGCTAGCATTGTCAAAGCGTGACTTTTCTCTTCCGCAGCTCAGGCCTTCTGATGGTGTCTTCGATGCAAGTGATGAGAAGGGTGACATCTTTCGATGTTCTCTGAGGTTGGCCAGATTTTCTACCATTATAACATGCCAGTCTTAAGTTTCAATTCGCCAGCATCTAAAATATTCTAAAATGGTTGAATACGAATTTGGTGAATTTACCTAGTGTTTATTTTATCGGCTAAAGTTCTATTCAACATGCTGAATTCTTATAGAAACAGTCGAACAGTTGCTTTTTGTTGCCTCTTGGAGAGCTTCGGTACGTTTGACTTGCAGGGTCTTCCCCAGAGAAGCATATTGGGGGTTTCTGGAGTCATGGGGGATCCCCAAGTCGCACTGGTTGTTTCAATACCATGGTTTGATCATCCACGATGGCTGGATGGAAACAGCCCAATATCTGCGGATACGTTGGAGACTGAGCCAGGTCCTATCCGCTTGAGCCCTCAAGTGGCCTAGGTCATGGACAAAGACAAAACTGGCTTCGTGGACCGGGAGGAGCACCAATGGTCTTGGAGATGTCCCTGGTTGATGTTTGCTGCTTGCTTGAGTAAGAGTAAGGGAGTGCTATCCTCCAGTCAACTAGCAGAACTAGGAACATGGTCCAGGCCTACATGATTTATTTATTGTACCAATTAAGAATGATCATGTTCCATAGCTGTGTTAGTTTACGGGCAGGACTGAGGGGCAAAGCCCGGTGCCCGGAATGATTGACGTCTTAGGGAGGATCATTTCACTGCGCAGGCTGTGCGTTAGTATGTCCCCAGACATTTTTTTAGAAAAAATAATCGGAAAAGGTCACTGGCCATTTCAGGAACCTAAATTGGAGGTACCTACCATATATAAGGCCTATATAAGGCCTATGTAAGGGAATATCCCCACAAAATATGGCCTTATATGGTACAGTACCTCCATTTTAGTAGGATCCTGGAATTCCCATTGAAAAGGGAACCCTTTGCGGACTTCATGCGTTTCGGCCTTTTCCCCTTCTGAAATTCTTTTTGCGAGTCTGGAGTGTTCACATGTCATCTTGCGGATGTTATAGCTTATGCAAACCCTAAATGAAACCCTAATAATTAGAAGTATGGGCATTTGTTCCATGGGGCCGGGTGGATTGTATAGCTTATGTAAAACCTGCCTGAAACTGTATATGGCAAGATATATCGAGATACCTTTCTTTCGTCTTGGTGTTCTCTCCCCAAGTGGTTTCTTGGAGCTTAGTCAAGTTGCGAGGAGGTAAGTAGCTCTTAAGACTCTTAACCAACAACAGTGCCTGTAATGGCTGGTGGTTTCAAACTTTTTTCCATAATATATGGGATAATCCTTCCCATTGGCTAATATTTTTCAAGATGGTTATTGCACCACCAACCAGCTGCAATGGTAAGTAATTTACCAATCATAGTACTGTTCCAACACTCCATGTCTTGAGCCTGGCGGCAATGGAAAGACCCCTGGCACTGGGATGATGGTTACCAGAACGGTATAGTGTATGATTCTTTTGGTCGGGTTGATGAAGGAGAATTTTATAAAAATATCCGACTGGTTGGATGATCCGGCAGGGCTTCAACAACATCCTATTCACAAGCAAGAATCAAAGGATATCAAAGGTATAGAATAAAACAAATTAATCATAGTTGATTCTTTGTGGGGGCTTAGACTGCACAATCAATACTGAAGGTTTTAAACATTTCATCGTCAAGACTATTTGGGGTAAGGATCCCCAACTAGTTTCATGTATTGTTCCAGGGGGTGAGACCACCATCCACCATGAGTTGGCCACGGCAATGGGGAACCCAGCAATTGAGAAATGGGTAGGCCCGAAAGCCCTGGCACATGGATGTTGATCCTTCAAAAATATTGTAGTTCAATCATCAATATAAAATGGAATATAATGGATAGATAGATATATAGATACAAATATAGATATAGATACAGATATAGATATAGATAGATAGATAGATATATATATATGTATATATTTCGTCGGCTTGGTGCTGGCTAACGAGCTTGGGTGCTAACCTGCCCGTGGTCACCTTGTTAGTTCACCTTCTGACTGCTGCTCTATGGGTCTGTGGGCCTGGCAAAACTCCAGGAGTTTATCAGCTGCGTTATGCGTTTCTTATCCGGAGAATCCTTGGTGAATTCTGTATCGATGGCGAGCATGCATTCCAGCTTCGAGCATCTGGAACGCAGGGGGCTGCGAGGAAGGGGAGATTCAATGCCCTGCATTTTTTCTTTGCGAAGACGCGAAGTTTGGGTTTAACTTTGATGGCTAGTTTAGTCCTTTAGATATGTTTGCTGCCGTCAATGGGGATTAAAAAAACTTTAAACATAAATGTTAAAAACAATTTTTCAACCAACGATCTTTTTTTGCATGGTTTCTTAGCTTGGCCTTGGAATGGTGCGCAGATTTTGTGGTTTTGGAGCCATGCTATAATGTTGTCACACCAGCTTGAGTAAGAGCAGGATCGCTTTTGTAGATTGAATATTCTAGGTCTGTCCCAATTCTTGAGCAATATTTGTAGGCTGCAACTTGACTGTTTATCCTACATTTCCGGTTATATATTGAGTTTCAAGATGTTTTCCATTTCACTCGACTCAACCCAGGAGCGTTTCATGCTTTGAAACTTGATGTTGCTCAAATTGATTGACGTCGCCCTTCCTGGTAACAGTCAGTAAGTCAAACACCAAATTGACTCCTCATTGCCACCAAATTTACCATCCCAATTGGTGTTTAACACGGTCCTTTTTTCAAGAAATGATGCAATTTCCATTCCATTCGAGCCCCCAACTAGCCTTTTTCAGCCGTGAAAGGTCTCCAGTGGCAGATTCCATGGGGTTCCCAGCCCCTCTGTTTTCGCGGTCCCAGGGCAGATATTGCTGCGGCACAAGCGGCAAGCCTCTTGCCATCGAAAGTGCTTGAAAATGGCTGTAAATACTCGTAAACCACCACCAGTGATGGTTATTTTGAGAAATCATCAAAATTGGCAAACCAGAATCCGGCTTGATAGATGTTTGGTCAAGAATGCTGGTTGCTGGTTTCAATTAGGTGTTACTGGTACTTTCAACCACAAAACTAGGATGATCCCCCATGACTTTTCGACCATGAATTTATGGCCCTGGGATCCCAGTGAAGTCCTTCATTTCACATGGCTGGCATAGTGACTTGCGTTGAAACATAACTGGCTTTACGTTTTCGAACATGTTTGAATCTGATTATTGGATATTATTAGTATATATGTAGACTAATATATCTATATCGTGATTGTTTTGTGGATCCGTGTGCGGCCTTGTTTGTTCAAGGGAAAAGCTGCAGGAGCCCCTTGGTCGATTTTTTGGTCCAAAAAAGTGCGACTTTGTCCCGGTGAAACCGAGGAAAAGCGGAAGCGAAGGGCGGTGCCAGTTCCGTGGCAGCAAGCCATGTTTGATTAGCGCTACTGGGGGTGAAAGATCTCACTATATATATATAGGTGTATATATGTATTATACATTAATTGTTTGCATTTTTGGAGTATATATATATATAGTATAAAGAAGTATGTCCCAGTTGGTTCAGGCTTCTTTTTGAAGTACTATGTCATCATGATGTGATACCTGGTAGGGATTCAATTATTCGAGATGTTGTAGCACATCAACCATGCTTTTAGATGTGTTTTTGTTGGTTGATGATTTTTGGATTATTTAGGAAAATAGCACCAAATACACACATGGTCCACTAGCTGGGGATTACAATTGCCGAACTAAATGAAGGTTTTGAATGATCCACAAGCCCAGGACCGGCTACGAACCCTGCAATATGTTTCGCTTGCAAAAAGGAACTCCATATTTGTTGTCAAACGGCTTTTCAAGATTTTCCTTGGTATTTGGAAACTCTTGAATCCGTTCCTTTAGTTATATATATATATAGTTTTTGTTTTTCTCACATCACTCAATTTCCAACATCACTGTCAAAAACTCATAACTTGATGTTCCTTGATTTGTCGTTGCATCACTCCCTTCGAGACCGGGCCTACCGGGCCGCCGTGGACATCCGTGGACCCAGGCTCTGCGCTGAACGAAGAGATGGCCAAATGGACCGATGAGGAGATCTCGCAGTGCTGGGCTTCGACCCAGGGCGTGATCCGGGCCCTGCACCGGGGCCCAGTGTTCTCGGAAGCGACCCGGGTAGAAGATCGGGTGAGATGGGATGTTTACATATATGTATTTATATATATATATATAATTTCGTACATGTGATGTAATTTAAGTATATATACCATATATATATACATATGTACTGATATAGATAAGATATTGTGTGTTTTTATCTTGTGCTGTTTGTATATGGATAATTTTAGATAATTCGAAAGGCTGTTGGTTTGTCTCACAATGGGTCCCTCAAATTTCCCTTTTCAATGGATGCCTTTTGGAGGTAACCATCCGTTTGTCATGCTCCCTAAAGGATTACCCTCTGGTAAATTAACATAACTATGGAAAATCATCATTTTTAACGGGAAAATCCACTATAAATGGCCATTTTCAATAGCTATGTTAAATTACTAAAGGATTACCCCACGGGCTTTGAAAGATCATCGACCTGAAAGTGGACAAAGCAATTCTCGAGTTCCAGCGAGCAATCCTCTGGAAAGCAGCGCAGTGGAAATTCCAGTGGCTATCCCCATCGTCTTATTTTGCTTGGTTGGATAAACCTTCATGTTTGCCGGTTCAACATGTTCAACCTGCAGTTTTGTTGGCAAAAGCACTTTATCGTCAGGCGTTATTTCTGCCAAAAAACCTGCGAGTGACATTTCTGCCTCTCGACCTTTCACCATGGAAACTGACCCATTTCCCATAGGATCCATGGTGCTGGTAACCATGGTATATATATATATATATATGCTAACATGACTGGGGTATATTGATGGGATTCATGCCATGTTACCATATATAGCAGCACCATGGATCCGTCATGGGTCCCATGATGCCGTGGATGTTACGTTCGGTTTCTTGGGATGCCCATCTCGGGGGCCACTAAGATCTTACGGGCGCCGCAGGTCAACCACCACCGGGTGCGCTTCCGCGGTCTTTCAGGTGCCGAGGGGATGATCATGCCATGGCCCTGTCAGTCAAAGACCCTTGTTAAATCCCTGTGAATGGATTATATCAATATATATATATATATCATATCTCATAAATCCCTATGGTCATGGATTTATGACCATCCCCTTTTGCGGAATCCCCCGATCTTTTCTGCCTCGCCAGGTGCTTGATGAGGACTCGGATGGTGCCATCGACCGTGAAGAATTCCGAAAGGGACTGAGGCCGAGGGCTGTGGAAATCTTGGGCTCTGTTAGGCTCTGTTAAGGTAAAGTTTAATCATGTACGTAACTTCTCTTTGGACCCCAACCACATATTATGATATATTATGTAGACGATCAAACATTCCACAGGAAGGAGCCCCTGGATAGATATGTTGGTTTATAGCTAGGCCCACTGGGATTTATGATTGATATGTATGAAACATAGTTTGGGTTCATAAAGAGACCCTGTTTTGTGGCTATGTTTCTAGGCCAAGGATTGACTCAAGAAATTCCCTGACACTCCTGCCATGCCTGGCGAAGTTTCCTAAAAATGCAGTGATGGGAAAATCCATACTTCTGGCTACATTGCTACATAAAGGGCGGGAAGATTGCTATGCCTTTCCCTGCCAATCGCATGCTTGGGGTTGCTTTCGTGGGTCGTAACCATGTCCTGTCTAACTGGGAGTTTTTTTTAAATTCAATCAGCTGATCACTCTGTTTTTCTCCTCCTTTGATGACTCCAGTGACTCCAGTGCGAGTTTCGTTTCTTCAATGCCCGTAGTGTGCGTGACTGCGTGCTGCGAGTGAGAGTGCCTCCCGCCTTGTGTGAACAACTGACCATATATAATATGTCTAAAGGGGGTTGAACCACCAATCAATTTTGTAAGTATTCCCAGTGGGCTGATTTAGCTATAGAATAAGGAGCAATCCCGTCCCCAAATAGTAAAATCTGCGAAACGGGACACGCACATGAAAAGAGACACTCCTAAGTAAGGCTTTTTTTGTGGGCATAGAATGAAAGGGTTTTTATAGATACCTCCAATTTTCACCCCAAAATTAAATGTCAGTTGGGGGGCCAGCCCAGTTTGAGGTTGATGGTAGTGTTGTTGCCTTTGGCAAGACAATTCAGTATGATGTTAGACTTGTGTTTGTCTGACTGCATCCCCTGGGTTCTGAAACTAGCAGGGGACCAAAAACACGATCAGGAAAAGAACCTTTATTTGTGGTACTGTGGTACTTGAGGGGAAATTCAAAAATGGTGGGGTCCCCAATTGTTTGGGACAGATCTACTATAGGTTTCCCATTGATCCTTCCCAAAAGATGCGCGCCATCCAGCCATGAGGCAGCTTCTGGCTGGGAACAACATGCTTCGGAACATGCACGTGTGCGAATCCCCAGTGTGGGGGAAATGGCACCCGAAATTTAGCTTGGTGGATTCGATATCGAATGTCCTGTACTGTATCTCTTCTGTAGATCTCTTTGGACATTTGCCCTGTGAACCAGGATTTCGGTTGCCCTTTCGCACTTTCCTGGCCTGTGACAGCTGGTAGTGATAGTAAAAACCTATGAAAACCTTTAAGCCTATATTTGCTATATAGTATTAGATATAGTACCCACCAAAAGATCAACACCCAAAGGGGCCCTTGGAAACCCTGGGTCGCGCAGCGAACACGGCTTCAGACAAATGGTCAAATGGGGTAGTTGCCCTTACGAAGTTCGAAGAGCGTAAATCCATGCATAGTAACCCCCAAAAGAGGACAGTAATAAGCTGCTTAGGATTACACCAGTGGGAGTTTACTTTTTTTTTGGGTGAGGTTCCTATAGCGTAATGCGGCGCTGCTGATTTGAGACTGGAGCTTCTGAATGGCTTTTTGGCCATTAAATAAGGATCAAAGAAATATGAATGATGACACGCATACACCTGCTGCAAAACCATGTCTCCTCATTCTACTCACAAACTCGGTAAAGATATGGTATCATAATTCATCTTTGTATTATTTCCCTATGAATTCCCTAGTATGTCCCTTTGATTTCCTCATAATCCATCATCATCCATCATCTTCCGACCCACTTGAGAACTGGCGACGCTGGACGCTTAAGGTGGGAGCCGCTACTTTGGAAGCTCGTGGACGAGGTCAGTGCTGTCGGATGATGTCTGCCATGGTTTTCATGGCGAGACCGTGGTTCTATAAATGGGGCATTCCCAAACACCATGGTTTTTAATACCAAATGATCCAAATGGTCATCCATGACTTGGATGATTTGGGGGTATCCATGGGTATCCCCTGTATCTTTTGGAGATTATGATAAAAAAGCTGTTGGATCTGAACCCAGCATATGTGTCAACAGATTCGACCGAGAATCCGACCGTGCTGTTGGTGTATGTCCCAAGAATGAATTGAACAAGTTATCCTATGTTTCTCTACTATATATTTGATTTGTTCATATTCGTTCAATTTGTTCTAGGTGTTTGACAATGCTTGCATATTTACAGAATGTTTGACTGCTATGTGTAAATAACTTGTGAATGTCAACTCATCCTGATTCTACCACTGTCAACATTATATATATATATATCATGATGTTACCACCCTTTTGCCATCATGTAATCATCAAGATAGCGAAGACGACATGTTTCCATTTTATTCAATTGAATGGTTGTTATATGTTTCTTGATTAGTTAGTAATTTTCAATTCACCATTTTAATGTCAATTTGTAGCCCAATTGAAAATGTCAATCAAACTAAGAAGTGCCCCGAGTATATCAATATTGATCATATTATCACCTTGAGATGCCCCACCAGTGTCACCAATCTATCCTCATTTGAATCAAAGCTATCCATGTTACTATGTTAGCAGCATGTTGCCGTCGTTTCACCATTTCGATCTGGAGGTGTCGTAAAATTGAGGTCTATTTTCAAAAAATCATCCAGTATCATCCAGTCATGGATGACCAAACCATAGTGTCAGCCATGGTTACCACGCAGGATTCCAGCGGTGTGGTCTCTCCACACGAGATGAACCTGGCCTTTTCAGTACGAGCACCTCGTTGTCCGTCCGAGATGCGGGGAAGCCACATGGGGGTGAGTTATTTCTCAAAAGCATCCATTTTTTGGGGGGCTTTTAAACGGGATAAAAATATCCCAACATTCTTGGGGTTCACATGGGATTTGAATGGGAGGATTCACATGAGTATAGCAGTATAGCCATCAAAAATAGGGATAGAAACATATTTGTGAATGTTCCTGTCTAGTTATCCTCTGGTAAACTAACATAACTATTGAACATGGCCATTTATAGTTGATTTACCCATTAAAAATGTGATTTTCAATAGCTATGTTAAATTACCAGCGGGTACACAATTCGATCATTTGCATGCGGGAACCCATACCGTGCCCTCATGGCTCGGTTCCAGACTATTGTCATTTCATACCCTCTGGTAACTTAACATAGCTATGGAAAATGGCCATTTATAGTGAGTTTTCCCATTAAAAACGGTGATTTTCAATAGCTATGTTAGTTTACCAGAGGGTACATGTAAATGACTTTGGTGAAGAGTAATCATTGTTATTGTTAACAATTAGCTTATCAATTGAATTAAGTATTGTTTTTTAGGGTCATTAGAACTCATGTTTGCTTTTGCTCTGGTTTTGACGATTATGATGATTGTTTATGATTGTTATATATTGCCATAATTCATGCCCAGATTCCATCAGTCTCCGACTTGGTTCATGCCGCACCGTACCAAGCAATGCCGCCGAAAACACTCAGGAGACCCTCTCCATATGACATGCCGTGTTGCGCAACGTGTAAACGGCGGCCAGAGATGATCATGCCAATGGACTATGTACAACATGTTTAGTGTGGCATACTTTCTGATGGGCGGCTGTCATTTTCAACCTTTGACGCCTGAATGAATTTTATATTGAAAACAATACTGAGTCTCGTTTTTGTTGGTATATGCTTATGAGATTCATAATGGGATTGCTCGTATGGCTACAACGGCTATAATGCTATAATGAAAATGATCATGATAATGATCATGATAATGATCATTGCCATTGCCTTGTTGAGAAAGAGGACATGCAGCATGCTCATTTCTCACTGCTGCAAGCAGAATATGTTTTTTCAACCACCATAAACATGGTGACCAAAGAAGACCATGTGATCATGGAAAGGGCTGTGGCTAAGCTTCAAAAACGCAAGTCGCGAGCCACACAGCTGCAGGGCTGTGCCCGGAAATGGAAATAGATAGGTTTCTGCAGTGTGGATAAGGTAGCCTCTCCTATGTCATAGTCTAACCTGGCAATGGCATCCCCCGTTCTGAACGAGGGGCTTGACCTATTTGGATCCCTGTTGCGGAACATTTTATATCTTTAGGGTAATTATTCTTAAACATGATAGAACCCGGAGGAAAAAAAAATACAATGTTCCATGTGGGGTTAAACAGGAGCTGTTGAAGATGGATGGTGTTTTCTTCATTCGTTTTCCAAAGCATATAACCAGGTTCGTTTACTAGAGGGCAAGCATGCCTCTGTCATCATGCCATCCCCCACAGATAGTGTCAGTTTGAGTTTAAAGTGTTTGAGAATAGGGCTGGGGATGGATGGAACAAAACAATGATAATACTGATAATACGAATGTCCTTGATATTGTTTGATCATCAAAATAAGATTACCATGTACTGTATATGGAAACTTTTTGAACATTTTTATTACATCTTATCATATATATATGTATATGATATGTTTGTACATGTATATGAGTATAATGCATTTGCATATGTAAATGTATTGGTGCATGTATGATATATGTATAGTATAATATTAATAGTATATGTATATAATGTATTGTATCTATATTATATGTCATATGTACCCATAGCCTGCATGTTTCTCCCCATCAAAAAAAAGATCCGGTCCGTCGCAGCCACGCTTCGCCATTCTTGGGTCAACCTTCAGAGACGACATTGTATACAATCGCTATGGGATATTAATGGGGCCATTAATGGTTTATCTATGATAAATAGTGATTTTGTCTATGGAAATGTGTGATTTATCCAATTTATACTGATCTATATTGATACAATTCCTATGGAAAGTGATTTGATGTATCCCCATCAGGTTTCCTTGTAACTGGGGATATGTCCATTAAACTAGTGAGGTTATCATTTGGTTGCCGTTTGCTATTGAGAATTGTCCGTTTGAAGTACTGTGGGTAAAACAATGTCATAAACCACCCATTGGGGAATGGTTCATACCACCTATTTATGGTGATTTGGGGATGGTTTATTATTGTTTTACCCGCATTAGATGATTTACTGTTTTTTAAACCGGTGATTTTCCACAGTTATGTCAAATTACCAGAGGGTACACTACCTGAGAGGCTACAGTACTTAACCCCCTAAATCAACCCCCAACGCTTCCTCAGAAGGTACGGCTGCATCGATAGGGAATGCCAATATTAAAATGACATTTTGCAAAACATGCATTTCCACGGGCTTGTGGATTCTCACCTGCCACACGAACCACAACTGAAAAAAATACCATTAATTTCCTGACGCCGAGGGATCACTTTTCTGCATGTGGATTTTGTAGTGGTTTTGTCCGTTTTTCCTTGGTTTCACTCCTTTTCCGCATGCACCACTCTGAAGATGATTCAAAATGATTCGAAATCACAGCTCTGCAAAGTCGATGTCCTTTCACTATCAAGGCAAGGTACAGAGAGCCACTCTTTCCAAAGACGTGCTGGTGAGTCATGGTGTGCTGCTGTGACATTGGGCTTGGACCTGGACCTGGGATGAGAAAAGTAAAAGTTGCCGGAAACCCAACTTTTGTAGCGGTAAACGTAAAAATCCGGATGTCCTCCAGCCAGGGTCCACCCAATATCAGCCCTTTGCCGGGATGGGAAGTCGAATGTGAGGATGTTCAAGTCGCAAAAGCCATCATTCAGATATGTTCATCCCAACCCCTTGATATGAAATAGATTTAAATCCCATAAACCATGGTTCAAATATACAAGGGATTTACACATGAATGTGGGACCATGTGACCATATGTTGGGGTGTTGAATGTTAGGTGGATTGGAATGCATTAAATCTCTCATAGAATTCCATTTTCTCCATATATGCACCATTAATAAACCCATTGATATTCCCATTGGGAAGGGCTGCTGGAGCAGCATTCTTCACTTCTCCCTGGCCGACGTGCACCCTTTGGGTGTGAGTTACGCACAGCGTCGCAAACCAGCTCAGCGACCAGAAGAGTCCCCGGTCCGATCCAGGCGCTTGACACGGGCCATAGTCCCATCATGTCCCGTCATGTCCCACCACCCACGGAATCCTTTCCCCAAAAAAAACATACAGACAGACAGTCAGACAGACAGACACAGACAGACACCGACTGACACAGACAGACACCGACTGACACAGACTGACACAGACTAACACAGACAGACACCGACTGACACGGACAGACACGGACAGACACGGACTGACACAGACTGACACAGACTGACACAGACAGACACCGACTGACACGGACAGACACGGACTGACACAGACTGACACAGACTGACACAGACAGACAGAGACAGACACGGACAGACACGGACAGACACGGACTGACACAGACTGACACAGACTGACACAGACTGACACAGATTGACATGGACAGAGACAGGCAGACACGGACAGACACCAAGAGACACCGCACAGACAGACGCGGAACAGACCCGGACAGACACGGACAGACACGGACAGACAGAGACAGACAGAGACAGACACAGACAGACAGAGACAGACACGGACAGACACGGACAGACACGGACTGACACAGACTGACACAGACTGACACAGACTGACACAGATTGACATGGACAGAGACAGGCAGACACGGACAGACACCAAGAGACACCGCACAGACAGACGCGGGACACGGACAGACACGGACAGACACGGACAGACACGGACAGACAGAGACAGAGACAGAGACAGACACAGACAGACACGGACAGACACAGACTGACTGACACAGACTGACACAGACTGACACAGATTGACATGGACAGAGACAGGCAGACACGGACAGACACCAAGAGACACCGCACAGACAGACGCGGAACAGACACGGACAGACACGGACAGACACGGACAGACAGAGACAGACAGAGACAGACACAGACAGACACGGACAGACACGGACAGACACGGACAGACACCAGTGACACCAGACACATCAGACACAGACAGACACGAACAGACAGGGACAGACACGGACAGACACAGACAGACAGACACAGACAGACACAGACAGACACAGACAGACACAGACACACACACAGACAGACAGAGACAGAGACAGACACGGACTGACATGGACAGACACGGACAGGCACGGACAGACACCGACAGACACAGAAAAACACAGACTGAAACACTGACACAGACTGCGGCAGGCACAGACTGACACAGACTGAAACACTGACACAGACTGAAACACTGACACAGACTGAAACACTGACACAGACTGACACAGACTGACACAGACAGACACAGACAGACACAGACAGACAGAGACAGACACTGACTGACAGAGACAGACACAGACAGACACAGACAGACACAGACAGACACAGACAGACACAGACAGACACAGACAGACACAGACTGAAACAGACTGAAACAGACTGACACAGACTGACACAGACTGACACAGACTGACACAGACTGACACAGACAGACACAGACAGACACAGACAGACACAGACAGACACAGACAGACAGAGACTGCCACAGACAGACAGAGACAGACACAGACAGACAGAGACAGACACAGACAGACAGAGACAGACACAGACAGACACAGACAGATACAGACAGACGCAGACAGACACAGACAGACGCACTGAAGATCATGCAGACATTGGTTTGCTATCCTTCATGTATAAAAGCACACACCCAGTACTAAGGTTTTTTAAAGCTCGTTCCGTGAAATAAATCAACCAGATTCATCAGATTCTAGGCATTTACCTTTGTATAACGTGCAACTCCTCTAGCAAATTTATTTACATCTATTTGGAGCTCATGTACTTTCAAAATTCAGCCGGTAATACAAGTTGTTCAGAGAACCGGTCGGAACCAATGTTTGTGAATATTTGGATTTGCCGGCCTATTTTTCTTTTGATCAACCATGTCTTGTCTGTCATCTGAACCAGTTACCAGTTGTGCATTTTTTTGATATGTTTTTTTCTAGGGTCTAGGGATTCCATATCAAACATATCCCATAGGAGACACACGCCATGGCCCCATGGTTTCGCATTTAGCCGCAATTTAGCCCTGGATTTATTGTGGATGCTGGTTGTACTACGCAGCCCCCACAGCCGGTCGCGTAGTAGCAACAGAGCTTTGTTGCGGGGATGGTTTGACAACCTTGGTGAGCCCACCAAATGGATACAAATATATATATATATATTTATATTTTTTATTTATAGAGTTACATGTATACTCGTATATATAGTTATATAATATAGCTATATAAATATATATATATACAAAATTGTATATATATATATACATACTTATATATATATATGTATATATAGACATAGAGTTTTATATATAGTTCATGTATAGTTCTGGGTGTATATATTTATGTAAAAATAATAGACATACATAGGTACATGATGCGAGGACAACATCACCCAGATGTTGTCAAGATGGACTTTCCATAGCT